TGCAGGCATCTCAAGAAGAAATAAGCATCAACGACAAGATGAAATTAAATAGAGAAAAAACAAATTCAAGTGATGAGTACAACAATTGTACTCTACATGATGAATGGTCTCTTTTAGGAGTAAGTTTTGGAATGACAGAATTTATAATATCAAACAAAAATCAGCAATACATGTCATAAAATAAATTTGTTTTCAATTTGCAGGCTCAAAATTTTTCATATACAAGTCTCATGGAACAAATTATATCATCTCAACCTTCAATATCTGAAGTTCAGGTATTTTACAAGTGTAATAAATGTAATGTTGAAGACAGATAAACAATATTATTAATGTGTAAAACTAACATTTTAAATTTCAAATGCAGCAAGAAATATCAACAGAATCAAACTTTGTTGCTACACCAAGAGCATTTCAGGTACTCACATATTTCATAAGAAGAAAGAAAATAGTAAATATGTATTAAATTTTAAATAATTGTCTTATTATTTGAATTACTTTTTGTGTAGAATTCAATGATATTGACAACAAGTAGAACATAAGATATTCCTTTTGATATGGATTATGCTAATACAAATCAGGTATGAATTAATTTATTTTTTTGTTTCTATAAATCGTATTTGTGATACAATTAATGTTTGAGTTTACTTATGATATTATTTGTTCTAACTATTTTTAAAGGTTGAAGATGAGGATCTGGAAGATAATGAATTGGAAAATTGGAATCTTGATATGTTCAATCTGTCAAACGGTCAAAATGTAAGATTTACTAAGAACTTTTCATTACTGAAAATTTTACATTTGAAGAATGTTATTCAAATCTAAAAGATAAAATTTGATTTGATAATAATTGTTGTGAAATTAAAGAAAAAAACTTTTTAAAAAATAATTGTTTGAAATATGAAATTGAATTTTTGAATAAGCAGGTGCAAAATTCAGCTGACAACAGTACTGAAATTGGAAATCAAGCAACAACAAATGTTGATACAGTGGAAAGTAATGATTTAGATGCAAATGGAGAAATGTTGACAGAAGAAGATATAAACAATTTTTTGGAGCAAGAACAAGAAGAAGCTACAAAAGGAAATAATGCAGCAATTGATGCGAAGTACATTCCAAGAGTTGATATGCAGTTCAAATCAATTAAAGAAGCACACGATTTCTTTAACTTTTATGCTTTGTTGGCTGGATTTTCTGTTGTCATTGCTCACAGTTACCACAGTACAAGCAAAAAAAGGAATGGAGAAGTGATTAGAGTAACATTCAAATGCAATCGACATGGAAAAGCAAAGTCAGAATCACAAGAAGAAGAAACAGAAGAGACAGTAGTAGCAGAGAGAAACAATAATGAGATTAAAGCCACAAGTTGTAACTGTGCACTGGTAATTTCTAAGAGAAATTTGATTTGGAGAATTATAAGGGTTAATTTAGATCACAATCATAAGATGAGTCCAAGAGATGAAGTTAGATTCTTGAAGTCACACAAAAATATGACAACAGAAGAGAAAATGATGATAAGGACACTAAAGGAATGCAATATTCCCACAAGGCATATGATTGTGATTTTGTCAACTTTGAGAGGAGGGCTGACATCTTTGCCTTATACTAAGAAGGATGTTAGTAATGTGAGAACTTGTATAAATAAAGAGACAAGTAGCAATGATATGATGCAAGTTCTTCAATTTTTCAGAAAGAAGAAGGAGAAAGATCCAAAGTTCTTTTATGAATTTGATTTGGATGAGAATAAGAAGGTGACAAATTTGTTTTGGACTGATGGAAGGTCAATTGACTAGTACGAGAAGTATGGAGATGTTGTTAGTTTTGATACAACATATTTCACAAATAGATACAATCTTCCATTTGCTCCATTTGTTGGGATTTCATGACATGGAAATACAATTGTTTTTGGGTGTGCCTTTCTGCATGATGAGACTGCAGAAACATTTAAATGGTTGTTCATAACTTTTTTGAAAGCAATGTCAGAAAAAGCATAAAAAACAATTATAACTGATCAGGACGGAGCTATGAGGTCAGCAATAAGACAGATTTTTCCAAATTCAACACATAGGAATTGCTTCTTTCATATAGTAAGGAAAGCATTCAATCTGTCTGGAACTTTGTTCAAGTCAAAAGAAGGGTTGTATGATGAGTATGAGGATATAATGAACAATTCAGTTACTGAAGAAGAATTTGAATATTTGTGGAATGAAATGGTTGATTCCTATGAGGTTCAGCACATCTACTTTTTGAAGCACATGTGGTCAATTAGAAAGAGATTCATACCAGTATACTTCAAAACAAATTTTTGTCCATTCATAAAAAGCACAGCTCTAAGTGAAGGTACAAATTCAAGGTTTAAGAAAGATGTTGGTCCACAATACAGTATAATAAGCTTTTTGATAGAATATGTCAGAGTAATGGACACTATTCAGAATTTGGAGCAGCTAGATGATCATAATTCAAGGACAAAAAGGCCAAGCAAACTTTGGTCTCATTACTACATTGAGTACCAAGCTGTCAAGCTGTACAATTCAAAAATATTCAAAAAGTTCCAAGTTGAACTTAAGAGGACAACAAGATTACAATTGATTGAGGTCGAGAAATTGAAGACTTATGAAGTTTTTCTTGCATTGAATCAGAAAATAAAAGTAGTAAGAAGAAGGAAGTACCTTGTAATTGTTGACTCTGAAAAGGAGGAATACACTTGTATTTGCTCAAAATTTGAGAAAGATGGCCTTCTTTGCTCCCACATATTGAAAATTATGCTTCACCTCAACATTATGAAGATTCCAAAGAAATATATTATCGATCGGTGGAGAAAAAAGGATTACAAAGAAAAATATGATTTTGAAGATAGAATTATACCTTTATCGGAGAGCTCAATCCTCAGATTCAATATTCTGTCAAGGAAATGTGCTGAAATAGCCTCACAAGGATCAAAAAGTATTGATTCGTTCCAATTTACAGTTGATCAGATTGACAAGTTAGAAAAAGAATCAATATCAATGAATTCAGAGCAAAGAACAAAGCAGCAAATGGAGATAGACAAAATAGATACAACAAATGGAGAAGTCATTGAAGAAACAGAAGAAAACAATGAAGAAATTTTGATAGATCCAGACATAGCAAAGTCAAAGGGAAGACCATCTCAAAGATACAAATCATTTAGAGAGGAATTACAGAGTAAAGAAGTTTATCATTGCAGTTATTGTCAACGAACAGATCACACTTTTCCAACATGCCCACTAAAGCACATTGAATTTGATTTGCCAAGAAAGAAAATTAGAAAGACAAAAAACACAGCACAAAAGGTAAAAAAGTATTTATTTTAAGAATTCTCATTTGATTTAAAATATTTAATTTGAATTTGATTGCAATTGCAGAATGCAGAGGAAGAACAAACTGATGGTTCAAAGAAGACAAATAAAGGGAAAAAACAAGAAGCAACAACACAAGTATTAATGGAGCAAAAAGGGACTAAGAAAAGAAAGACAGATGGCTAAAGTTGAAGTTAGAAAGTAGTGAAGCAGAAAATAGTTATACTGAATATGAGAAGTTATATTCCTGCGTAGTGAACAATTGTAATAGTCGTTCAGAATAGTTACAATATATGAAGTTTGGTACTTTTTGTGATGTGACCTTTCAAGTTGTTATCTTACTATAATAGTTACAATATGGCGCAGAAATTGTATCTATACAAATCTACTATAAACTGTTGAGCTAAAGTAATCTTGGTTTTCAAAGTATTCCTGTTGAATTAAATCAGCCCTACAAAAAAAAAGAAAAAAAAAGCTAAATGTAAAGGTAACAGAAGAAAAAAAATTTAAAAACATATTTTTTAAAAAAAGTTAAAATGACTACTTACCTTTGCATAATAGTCAGTAACAAGTTTCTTTGTTGCAGAGTTCAGCACAATGTTGCATGGATGGAAAAACAATTTGTTGACATATTGAATCCTTATGTTAGGAATGTCTTTTTGAGAGAACTGGTTGGTTAGCAGAACTCTTGGACGCCAAATTTCCATGAATTTCAGAGTAAAAATACCACAATCAAGGCTAAAAAAACAGAAATAAAAAAAACATAAGTCATAAATAATAAAAATTACTAGAATTAAAATAACATTCAAAGAGTTAACATTTGTAATTTACCGATTTGTTTGTCTTGGACGAGGTGGGTATATTATCTTGAAACTAGCAAAGTTAATTGGATGTTCAGGGACAAATTTCCTCCATACAATTGAAAATTTTGATATATGACAAAATGAAACAATCATAAAAATAAATTATTCTATACATATAATAATTTGCAAAAAAAAAATCATACCAGTCTGCATCTAGCATTGTATTGATAGTCTTCTTCTTCTTCTTCAAATAAGGAGTCAATGAAAACAAAACTCTCATCTTTCAAATCAACAACAAACAGAAACCAATGCCTCAAATGCAATATTGGGAAAAACAGCTGAAAAAAATGATACAATAAAAACAAATGTAAAAACAGAGAAATCTAATACAAACTAATTCAATTAAACATTACATAAGTACATACCATGTCACATATCTCAATTGGTCTAGCAAGTGATGCTCCAGAAAAACTCTTTTGGACCATTCCAAAATTAGTTTTTGAAGGGTGTTTCATAAGATCATTCTGAAATAAAAAAAATACATACTCAATTTGCAAGTAACTGAGTTGTATTTAATAAAAAAATTAAAAATTACAAACACTTACCCCAATTGAAGAGAAGAAATAGTGTCTTTTGGATTTTGAAGGATGAATCGATTTAAACATATATCGACAGAACACAGACATTACAAAATTTGATAATTCTCCACCTTGTTTGAATGAAGAACCAAAAGATGAGAATTTGCAGTGAACTCCATCAATATTAACAGTTTCTTGACTGCAGTAACAGTACAAAACTTACATATATGAAGAAACTGAAAAAAATTACATGAAAAAATATTTAAAGTTACAGTTAATTTTGCAAGAAAAAAAAAGTATGCAGACATTCTAACATGGAGCAGCACATGCTTGCACAAGCATTCAATCACAGCTAAATGTTCAGCAAGTAAATATAAAAGTGTCAAGCTTATCCCATAGCATATCAAAAACTATAAAAAATTAAAGATCATGATCATATAAAACAATAATTTGCAATCAGTCAGAACACACCCTTGTTGGTTATCTTTCTCAAAGGTTTTTCTCTGCCAAAAAAATTTAAAGAAAAGAAATTAAAAAAACTAAAGAAAAAATTATTCACCAATGTAATAAGGTAATAAAATTACCTTATTTTTAGACTGTTCACCAAGCATGCTTAATTTCATTTTCAAAGAATGGAGAACTAGATCATTGTGAATCTCTAACAATGCATCATCGATAATTGAGTCTGATTCAACTTTATGTCTCTGAAAATAAAAAAATATCATATTAAAAAAATAATGTAAATTACAAAAATCTAAATATGCATTAATCATACCTTCTTTTTATGGTCATCTGTAAATGGCCTTTTACCAAGCTTTATTTTCAATTTCTTCATAAGCTCTTCTTTAGTTAAATGAAGCAAAGGATCATTTTCCTCAAAATGTTGGTCCTTAATAAAAAAACAAGAAGATTCAAAAAAAATATTGAAATAAAAAATAAACTTCCATGATAAATGAACATGACAAATGAACTTACATGATTATCAGAACTTTCATCATGATTAGATAAATGAACATCACTATCATGATTATCAGAACTCAAACTACAATCATTGTCACTGTTAGATTCACTAGAAATATCAACTTTTGATCTTTTTCTATGACCCATGACTGCAAGGAGAGAAAAAAGATCTCAAAACATAAGTATTATGGACTAAAATATATAACAAAACAGAATAAAACATACAAGTTAAATGCACCATGTCATATGAAAATAATATTACTTTCATATAGTAGAAATAATTATTTTCATAGAGTAGTGTCAAATGTGTAGCACAAACTCATGTCATATATCAGAGTATAGTGATGACTAGGAATACTATACTCTTCTCCTTCTGAACAAATGTATTAACAATACTCTTCTCCTTCTGAATACTAAACCTGAGCATGCAAAATGAAGAGACAAAAATTGACTACTATAAAAAACATTCTAGTACAGAAATCTTCAATAACTTGTGTTATTTCCTCATGTAAGGTTGTCATTGAAAGATTAAAAATACCAAACTAAAATGCAAATGGCATATAGCATTTGTGGATTTCTAGAAAAAAAAACATCCTGAATCAGTGCATAAACATCCACCTAAATAGCATATAGCATTTTCTTGCATAGATTTAGAAACTGACATCAAAGCATTACTACAAAATCAATCAGTGCACAGAACATGCAAATCAAGGATATACAGAAGGGTCAACAAATGTACATTGCACACATCTAGTTCACAAAAGCAAAAGCACAGATCTAGTTCACAAATGTAAAAAAGCAATCATAAAAAGATATATCTAAAATGAAATGAATCACACATCTAGTCCACATAAACAATATCTAGGGCTAAGAACACAAATCACAACCATAAACATAACAGTACTTTTCTCATTTTGAATACTGAACCTGAACATGGAACATGCATCAGAGACAAAAAAAATTAACAACCATAAATACCATTCTAATAAAGACATAAAACTTGAAACTTAGTACAAACCAGCATATCTTAGTCATGCAAAAAACAATTGATAATATCAATAACAAATTTAACTGCTCATATAAGGTTGTCATTGAATTAACATATAGCATTTGCAGATTTCTAGAATAAAAACATCCTGAATGCATTACTAAAAAAACAATCAGTGCATATAGATAGGTGAACATATGTACATTACTCCCTTATTTGCACACATCTAGTTCAGAAAAAAGCAAAAAACACAGTTCTAGAACAAAATAAAAAAGCACGTAACTAGTTCACAAAAGCAAAAGCGCAGATCTAGTGCACAAGAAGACAATATATAGGGCTAAGAACACAGAGATCACCGAGTCATAAACGAATATGAATCAAGGGGATTCACCATATCAAACACATACATAGATTCCGAGTCGAAACAAACTCAGATCTACAAGCCCCACGAATCGACGACCTAAAACACAAGGGAATATCAGAAAAACGAAGGGGAAACTCACCAAAATCAGCTCCAACTTCACAGCCGCGTCGTAGCCACCAGCAAACCAAAAACTACGAGAAGAGAAAAATGAAGAGATGAATCAACACAAGAGCAACAAATAGAAGAAGAAATCAATAAAAAATGGAAAATAAATCTGCCACCTTCACCTCCCGCAAACTGCGCAACAGGACTGCACAATCACCGGACGGAATCGCCACCGCTCCTCCCGACGGAAACTCCGCCGCTCCGCCCGACGGAATCGCTGCCACGTCGCCTGAGACGACGAGAACGAGAGAAATATATCTCTCTCTCTCCCTCTATCTGACTCACTCTCTCTCCGTCGGCACAAAAAAGACAAGCGCGGATTTCAAAATTCGAACAGTGCCCATGGGTCCCACACAGGCTGTCGAAAAAAATTTCTGATGTGGGTCCCACATAATTACCACACACAAAAAAAAAAGCCCAAAAGCCTAGACACAAATAAAAAGCTCATAAGCCCACACACCGATACTACAAAATGAACTACAAGCCAGTACGAATCACAAAGAAATCCGATGGCTTAAAAAACGAACGATAGAGCCAAGAAAAAACATGTGACTGCCAAATAGCCATCCCGTTAAAAAAATGCATGCATGTAGTACGAGTACGATGTAGTAGACTCCACGTCTTCTCCATATTTAGGCGTCACTGGTTAAGGTAAAAACGAGAGGCCTCCAAATAGATTTTACGTTTTCTTTTTGTTATATTTTTGTTCTCTGAACGAATGATTGGGGGTTATGCATCATTCATATGGGGTGATAGAAGTCCTCTTGATAGACAGGACTAGCGCCAAGGAAAAAGAGAACAAAAGGCCAAGCATTTGTCTAACGAAGATCAAATTAATTAAAATCAGATCATCTCATCACCTCCGTGATTGTGGGCCTGTAAACTAATCTTCTGCAGTATCTCCTCTTCCAACCAATAACGTCGTTAATTAATTAGCTAGATTCGCTAGTCAACATTAATTGCTTGAAAATTTTCACATCGCATCATTATGAGAAGAGAGAATCATATCCATAACGTAGTCCGTTTCAAATGAATGAAAACGAGATTAGAACGAGGAAGCGAAGTACGATGAGAGAGAATATATAGTTTCCGTGACATTGTACACTCACATAAAGGACGTAGGGATCAGACGGCCATATAATTATATATATATAGTCTTAAAAAAATATGGACATATAGTTCAGCAATGTATATGTGAGAGTGGGCAGCCCAATCTATCACCCGTGAACTATCCAGGTTACATTCATTGGACGAGATCTACTCCACAAGTTTACAATCGGCGTATAATTTTTAAACTCTGGGTCTGCAAAATCTAAACGTGTGTTCGGTACTTTGGTTTGGAGATGAGGTAAGATAGGTAGGCATATTCTTGTTTTCTGAATGAAATAATTCCTACCACTGTTTGCCACGAGAGATGAGACGGTGTGGCCTATGGGTCCACAGATTTTTAAGGACATGGCTACACAGCTATGGTAGCTGATTTGTCTAAACTAGCTACCACTCCATCTATGATAAACACTATCCACCTACACTTCAAATACAATTTTCTCTTAAACTACTCATCCGATTTACAATCCGATTACACCGTTGTGTTCGTAACAATTAAATCTTTACAACAAGATCTCACATGATTATATTTTGATGAAAAATCACAACTTCTATAATATATGTAAATTACTTTTAGGTTATATTGAATTACTTTTATATGTCTAAGAAGTAACTTAGTGAAATCTTAAATTACAATTTAGATATATTACAAAAGTAATTTGTGATTTTTCATCAAAATATAATCATGTGAGATCTTGTTGTAAAGATTTAATTGTTACGAACACAACGGTGTAATCGGATTGTAAATCAGATGAGTAATTTAAGAGAAAATTTTATTTGAAGCATAGATGATAGAAATATTTGTTCTATTTGCTTGATCAATTATTACTATAGTAAAGTATGATTCTTCAAGACATATCTGGACAACGGCTGATTGGATGATAAGGTCGCTCATTATGACTAAATCGAGAGCGCTCTCGATTTAGATTTTACGGATTTTTAAGGTAGAGAGTTCATCGGGATGTTAAGGGAGTATTCTTCTTCGGAGATTACACCATTCCATCCCTCAAACCCTTGAAAATTGGTTCATTTTATCCTGATCCATCACATCTCTTTAGCCAAACACATATTAAAAAACAAATATGATACGCAAGCATTGTTTCCATTTTCTTTAGTTGTGCTTCTCCATTATCAATTGCCAAAATGAGATTCTAAACCCAACATTATTTATAGATGTGCAGTGGCTAAGCTTGGCTGCAGGATCAGATCGAAGGGGCCAATAGCCCAATACCAAATGCTAGCACGAAGGGAACACAGTGGTTGGAGGAATGTCAAACATAACTTATCATTGTAAACCAGCTAGCATTCTTCTATAGTACCGTACTATTCATTCTGCGTAATCTAATCATCGAGATAAGGGAGGGTTAGGCTGGCACCATTTTGGTGAGTTACAATACATTAAACCTCTGATCAGAGCTTGACAACGTTTTCCATCCATCAAAGATATCAAATTTTTCGTGCACTCGGATCAGAGAACGATCGACCGACAATATAATCGGCCGGTGAATCGATCCGGCCCAAGCAGACAGCACCACTGTCTGAACTAACTAAATGTCTGCAATATTGTAGTACGTAGTACTTGCAGAGCCGGTGTTGACCAACTGATCAAACTGTTCGTGATATATCGTCGTGTACGTGCAGATCGATCGGTGGTACAGATGTGGGCAATTATAATTGAGATCGACCACGCTGATTTCCAACGATTGGTCGTGCGTCTCTACTACGTACGTACGCGCAGGTGGTTGACACATGGATATTAATTAACTATATGCACAGATTGCTACTAACTGATATAGGAGTACATAGTACCAGTATCTCTTAAATTTCTCTCCCTCTGTACTCTATATTTCCTGCTTGTTGTATTGGAACTACTGATTCGTGCGCATGTGCGGTGAACATATAACTCGCACACGCCACAAGTACATAAACAATTTTTCCAAGATGACTAAAACAGATTTTCGCGTGCGGACCTGTGCCTAGGGGTCTATGAAAATAAAAATAATAATAAAAAAGAATAACAAAAATTTCAAAAATCCCTCGAAACCATAGGTCCGCCGCCACCCGGTCGCCACCGTCAATCAAAACCCTAGCCCACTGCCTCCACCTAGGCCATCGTCGTTGAGGTCATCATCATCGCTTTCGAGGACTTCGTCGTTGCGGGGGAGGGCGGCCGCCACCAGAACCGTGCAGGGGAGGGCCGTTGCCGCCGGATCCGCATGGGGGGAAGGTGGATGCCGCCGGATACGTGCGGTGGATGGCCACCTCTGCCCTCCCTCGCCGCCCAAGCCCTCCACCACCGTTGGGAGGGAGGAGAGGGGAGATGAGTGGGGGAGAAGAAGAGGAAGGCCGGGACACCCGCCATCGCCCGTCACCGCTGGAGCCCGCTGTCGGGAGGGAAGACGGGGATAGCCGTCGCCGCCATCACGTGCCTCCTCCATCCTCCCTCACTGCCGAGCCATCCATCACCTTCAGGAGGGAGGAGAGGGGAGATGAGGAGTGGGAGAGAAGAGGAGGAAGGCCAGGACGCCCGTCGTCACCGTCATCCTCGCATCGCCGTCACCCTTGCTTGACGTCGCAGCCGCTATCGGAGCCTACCGTCGGGAGGGAGGAGAGGGGAAAGGAGGTGGGCATAGGAGGAGTGGGGAGAGGAGGTGGGGAGATGTGGAGTAGGGAGAGGAGGAGCGGGTGGTGGGAGAGAGAGAGAGAGAGACGGGAGAGGAGTAGGTGGTGGGAGAGAGGGAGGTGGGGAGAATTAAAAAATAATGGTA